CTGCCTGTCCCGCTGCCTGTCCCGCTGCCTGTCCCGCTGCCTGTCCCGCTGCCTTCGGTGGATCTGCAGAGGGAGGAGGGAGTTGCTTCCCTTCAGGTCTTTTGGCACATGACCTACCTCTTTCTTAACCCTTATTTTCTTGCCCCTTATTGTGCTGCAAGGTTGCCAAATTAGCCTTGAGCAACTTTCAAAGCCTTCTTTGGGTGCTAGTTTGTTTTGGGATAAAGCCTGGACCTGGTGCAGGCAGTCACGTTATATGTGCACAGGGTCTGGATAAAACCCTGCTCTCTCCAGGTGTACTTCTACCTCTGGGGTCCCCTCGCTCCTTCCTATCTCTGCGGACAGGGTCCTTCAGAAAAGCGCTACAACTTGCAGGGTACTTGATTGGTAATTAACCTGGTGTAATTATAGACAGCTTACTGTAAGTGAAGGATACAACTGTATTTATTATAGCTAGATCATGACACTACTGTTACTTTTTTCCCATTTTCAATGTAATTTTCTAGTTTCAGATTCCAGAGTGAGAGTCGTAACACTGTCTGCATGGGCACACATTTGACACACAACTGGCAAAGGGCCTTTTAGTCTGCTCATTGTTCATATGGCTCTGCTTTTACCGTGGTGGCAAGTCAGTAAGTTTTGGAGCTCTTCAAGCTGTAGTATTGGCTTAAAGGGAATTGCTCCTTATAATAGAGACAGTGCTTAGCTGTTATATGGTACAAGCTAGCAGGTCTCAGCCTCAGTCTACGTCTTCTGCAGTGGCAGATGAAAATCTGCGGTGCGATACTGCAGGGGCAGCATCCTTCAGACAGGAACGGGCCCAGTTTCCAGGATCTTCACAGCTGGAGGCAATGCCAGCTGCAGTTCGGCCCGCTTAGCCCTGCTGCAAACACTTCCTACGTAACTGTTGATATTACAGAAGGCAACGCAAAATTGAAATTTGACCAAGAGTTTCAGCCCAGGCTGAGCTGTCAGCGATACAATGCAGGCTAACGCATGGCTGGGAAATGGTGTACGAAATGTTCCTGTTCTTTCCTATCCTCTGCAGGACTAGCTCTGAGCATGCCATTGCGTTGTCTCTTAAGCGTTATGGAAGGTCTTATCTTAAAAGCTTGTTTAGGTTCCTATGTCGCTTTGGATGATGCGTTCCCAGGGCTGCCATACTTGCCTGACTATAAAGCAATGGCCGTGCAGGATGCTCGGAGTGTTGTGCAGAAACCACTTTGTTCTGATACTGCCGCCAAAAGAAACAGCAGCAACAAACCCCAAAAGGTTTGCAGCTGGATCAGTCCCCCTGCACCGTTCCCTGGGCTGCTGCACAAATATTTGCGCTGGCGCCTGGGAAAGGCAGGGTAGAAGTGGGAATGACGCTGGGGGCAGGAGGCAGGCAGGGGGGTTCCTTGCGCTGGCAGGACTTGTTATGCCATCCAGCCACGGCCTGGGATGTAGTGGGGCATCACGGCCTGCACGGGCTCGGCTGCAGTCTGCTTCTGGCAGGGCAGGAGGTGGGTCGGGGAGCTGCCCTGCTCCCACCGGCCGGGGCCAGGTGAAGCTCAGGGTGGCCCCTGTGACCAGTCCCTGTGACCACGCGCTGCAGTTCCAGCATTAAACGAAGCCACCCTGAGCCGTGCTGCCGCCAAGGTCTCCAGCTGCCCTCCCTGCACGCACGCTTCTGGCTCCGTCATGGCACCAGTGCTTATGATGCCATATGATCACCCCAAGCAGGGATTTGGTTGGAAACTAACCATTTTTTCCACCATTTCTGCAGGACAGTTAGTTTTGTGCCAACTCAGCTGCCTGCTCTGGCCAACAGCTGTGCACCCCAGGGTGGGTGTAAGGCAGAGGGGAGCACCGGCTGGCGGGAGGGAGCCCCACGGCCCCATCCAGCAGTGGTGTGGGTTTGGGTCACCCCATCCAAGTGATAGGACGAGAGGAAACGGTCTCAAGTTGCACCAGGGGAGGTTTAGGTTGGATATTAGGAAAAATTTCTTCATGGAAAGGGTTGTCAAGCATTGGAACAGGCTGCCCAGGGAAGTGGTTGAGTCGCCATCCCTGGAGGTATTTAAAAACCGTGTAGATGTGGCGCTTAGGGACATGGTTTAGTGGTGGACTTGGCAGTGCTAGGTTTGTGGTTGGACTCGATGATCTGAAAGGTCTTTTCCAACCTAAATGATCCTATGATTCTATCCTGCTGTGCAAAGAGCAAGCAGAAATCAAACCTGGTGCAGTGTGTGCACACAGCGGGAGAGCAGGTGGGGCCAGCTCCTGCCTTCTGGTGTCCCTTCAACCCCCTGTGTCACTGCGACCGGTCTCGCACATACCAACCATGCAGACACGGCCAAGGACAGGCTGTGAATGATCATGGAGGGCTGAGCCAGGCTGGGAACTGGCAGCGTAGGGACCTGCCTGCGTGCCTGTCCTTGCCTGGCAGTGACCTGCTGTGGGGACAGAGCAGAGCCAGCCCACGACAGGCAGGGCAGCGCATGCTTGTGTGCTTGCTTCTTCCCTGCCTGTGTGTGTGAGGGTGGAAAACTTTACCCAAAATCTCCTTTCCTCCACCCAGCCCTGCGCTAGGGGCTTTGCAGACTGAGATCGCCGCAGAGGGCCTGGCGCTCGCGTGTGCAGGTGGGGAGACTGAAAATGAGCCCTGCAGCGAGCTGCAGGGGGGGTTACATCCCACCTGGGTGCATTGAAGGGCAGCGTGTAGTCTGCAGGGGTACAAAAAGGGATCCCCGGGGGCTCTGGGTAGCCTGTGGGTTGGGGCTGGGAGTGCCGGTGCGGTCGAGGCTGAGGCAGACAGCGCTATTGCAAATTGCAGCCTCCGCTGAGCAGTGAAAGGTGTGCTTTTCATAAAAGAAAGAAAGAGGGGGGGGAGAAAGAAACTAGAACAACGAAATGGGAATTGGCAAGGCCTGTAGCTGAACTTCCCCAGCCCACTGGGTGCTGTGGTGGGACCCCCCTTTCCTTCCCCCGCCACGTCCGGCTGGCGGTCCCTGCGCCTCGGCATTGACCAGCACTGACGCTGCTGCAGAAACTTCAGGTTACTGGGGTTCTTAGCTGGACCACGGCCTCTACAGACAGTACCAAGGTTTGTTTAAATCCAATCAATATTTGAAGGCAAATGTCAAAACTTTGCCTGGCAACAAGCTGTCAAGCTCTTTGCAGAGGACCTCCGTCTTTCTGCTCTGCAAAACCCGCTGT